ATTAAAAATAATTATTGATAGATATGGACTTATTGTCATTTTGATAATTGTTTTCTGGCTGTTTTGTAGTTCCTCTGTTCTTTTCTTCTTCTCTTGCTCTCCTCCTTTGTGATTTGTTAATTTTCTCTATTGGTGTGCTTAGGTTCCTTTCTCATTATCTTTTTTGTATCTACTGTAGACTTTTGCTTTGTGGTTACCGTGAGGCTTACATAAAACATCTTATAACACTCTATTTTAAGTTAACAACTTACGTTTGGGCACATTCTAAAGCTCTACAATTTTACTCTCACACCCCCTAGGTTTTACGTTTTTGATGTTACAATTGACATCTTTTGTCTTGCGTATCCATTAGCAAATTATTGTATTCATAGTTATTTTTACTACCTCAGTCTTTTAGTCTTCATACTAGCTTTGTAAGCGACTAACTACCATCATTACAACATTAGATTATTCTGAATTTAACTGTTTTACCTTTGCCAGTGAGATTTATACTTTCATATGTTTTCCTCTTACTAATTAGCACCCTTTTGTTTCACCTTAAAGAAGTCTCTTTAACATTTCTTGTAAGGCTGGTCTAGTGGTGCTGAACTCCTTCAGTTTTTGCTTATCTGGAAAACTATTTATCACTCCTTCAATTTTGAAGGACAACTTTGCCAGGTACAGTATTCTTGGTTGCCAGTTTTTTTATTTCAGTATTTTAAATATATCATGCCACTCCCTTCTGGCCTGCAAAGTTTCTCCTGAAAAATCTGCTGGTAGTCTTATAGGGGAGGGTCCCTTGTACTTAACAAGTTGTTTTTCTCCTGTTGCTTTTAAGATTCTCTCCTTGTCTTTAACTTTTGACAGTTTAACTACAATGTGTCTTGGTGTGAGTCTCTTTGGGTCCATCTTATTTGGAACTCTCTGGTCTACCTGGGTCTGGATGTCTGTTTCCTTCCCCAGGTTAGGGAAGTTTTCAGCCATTATTTCTTCAAATAGGTTTTCTGCCTTTTCTCTCTCTTTTCTTTCTGGGACCCTTACAATGAGAATATTGGTCTGCTTGATGTTGTCCCATAAGTCCCTTAAGCTATCTTCACTCTTTTTCATACTTTTTTCTTTTTGCTTCTCTAATTGGATGAATTCTATTGCTCTGTCTTTGAGTTCACTGATCCTTTATTCTGTTTCGATTGTCTGCTGCTGATCCTGTCTATTGAATTTTGCAGCTTGTGTTCTTCAGCTCTGTGATTTCTATTTGATACTTTCTTATATTTTCTATCTCTGTATTGAAATGTTCTCTTTGTTCATACATTATTCTCCTGACCTCAGTTAGCATCTTTATGGCCATTATTTTGAACTCTTGATCAGGTAAATCACTTATCTCTGTTTCATTAAGATCTTTTTCTGAGGTGTTATCTTGTTCTTTCATTTGGAACATATTCCTTTGTTTCTTCATTTTCCTTGACTCTTTGTGTTTATTTCTATGCATTAGGTAAAACAGCTCCTCTCCCGGTCTTAAAGGAGTGGACTTTGTAGGAGATGCATCTTATTATTCAGTCAGGCCCTAGCTCTTAGTTGTTTCTCAATCCTTTATGATTGTCCAAGCAGCTTTCTTTGTTCTTATTGGCTCCCAGTAGTTGAGGGTGTACCAAGACCTATCAGTGTCCCAAAGGGGAGGATCTCAATTAGAACCTACATGCAGGCTAATTGTAAGCTGGATCTTCAGGCAGCAGCTTTTGTTTGTTACAGTCCTGTGGAACTCATGAATTTAAGCCCCACTGGCCAGCAGAGCCAGGTGATCGAGTGGTATCTGCTGAGCAGCAGCTGCAAAAAATGGGGCACCAGACATGTGCACAAACTCCTTTCCAAGAGATACTGGCAACCTGGAACAAGGCAGAGGGAAAGAGTGAAGATGGCACCCACTGGGTCCCCAGTCTCTGGAGAGTATTGCAGTCAGCCCCTTGTGTGTTAAATTAGAAGCCTACCCCCCTAGTCTGAAGTATTAAGATGAACAGATAGGCCTCTTTCATGAAAAGACTGGACGTATTTCAGTCCGTTGCCTCTACTCTGGGCCCTGGAGTATTTGCCTTAGTGAGTCTGCCTAAGCCCTTTAAGAACTGTCCTTAGTTCACTTTAGCCTTTTGGGTCTTATGGATGCAAGCCCTGTTTGCTTTCAAAGCTAGATGTTTTCAGGGACCATCTCTCAAGTGGAAGTCTTAAAAGTTTGAGTGCTAGATGTGGGGTCTAAACCCTTCACTCCTGGTGAAGGGGTGGAGGTGACAATGACTGCAGCAGAGGAGAAGGTGGTAAAGACCTCCTTGGTCAGGTTGGGGGTAGCAAGGGGGAAACTGGCCTCAGCCTTGAATCATGAAATTTAATAGGTTTTTAAAACACTTTGAATTATATTAACATGAATCATCCAGCTTCCGACAGTTTTGAACCTTCACTCAGTCTTCATTGTTTATTTTCATACCACTCTTGAAAAAAAAACATAAAATCTAGGCAAGGCTTCTTTTCCTACTACTTATTTATTACCTAATATTATTTCTCAACTTTAATATGAGATCTCTACTATTAGACTATATGTAGTCAAGGATTAAAACCTGACGCTACTATAGATGGAGAGGAAGTTGAAAATTTTACATAATTAAAAATGAATAAGTCCACACCAGTTCTTACTACCAGCAGAAATGTTAAAGAGCTAACTTGAAGCCTGAAAAGATTAATTTTATTTATATATTCAAAGACTTTAACTCAGGTTCCTTGTGAAAAGCAATATAAAACACTTTTGGAGACTAAAAAGTAGCTAAAAGATACTTTAAAAGGATTTTGTATGGGCCAGCCCTGTGGCTTAGCGGTTAAGTGCACACGTTCTGCTACTGGCGGCCCGGTTTCAGATCCCAGGTGCGCACCGACGCACCGCTTCTCCGGCCATGCTGAGGCCACGTCCCATGTACAGCAA